GAGGACCCGGTCTACCTGGACTGGACCCTCTGAGGACCAGGTCTGGTTCCTTGGAGGTCTGTGAAACGAAGGATGGACCAATGATCTATTTATTCACTGGACTGTTGATTGGCTGAAAAAAGTGAAGCCTCCGTCGGCCATGTTGGTACTCCCCACTCCCACAGAGACGCAGTTGAAAGCCTCCCTGCAGCATCCGTTAATCCAGCAGTTTTCCTGCCGTGGGAAGACGTTCCACAGATTATTCCACAGTCGAGGGTTCAAACATACTTGATGATTCGTTCTTTAAATGATGTTTGATGTTTCCTGTTATTTTCTAATTGTTGTGATTCTGCTGGATTAGAACCTGAAGCTGTGAAGTTATTAAATCACCTGATTAATTTAGCTCTATGGTAAATCTGTCAGATTAATAGGCTGTTTATGGCATCATTCATGCATAATCTGAAAATACAACAATATTAACAGACTTCTAATCCAGTCTTTATGTTAAATTTTAAAATCATATGTAATTAATAATGTAATTGATCCAGGTTTATTAGATGTTCATCATCTATTTAGCACTTTAGCCTAATCTATATTATTCTGCTCCATTAACACATTAATGTTATTGTGATGGATTGTATAATATATTGTGATTTATAGACTTCATAATGATGCAATTAATGAGCCGATTGTTTCATTAAGTTAAAGTTAATCTACTGATTCTATGAAGCAGCCAGTCTGAGTCAAAGTGATGAATTTATCTTTATTTTAAAAGTCTTAAGTTCCTGAAAGTGAGAACATCATCGTTGTTTGAAGCTTTAGCGCACAGATTGTTCACATTGAGACCGGTCTAACTAGGGAGTACCAATATGGCGGCCGGTGGCTTCACTTCAACCCTGTTCTACCAACGGCCAATCAGAATCCAGAGATCAGTGGGATGGAAGAGTTTGGCTGTGGATTCAAAAGGTCCAGCCTTCTCCAGCCTTCACCGCCCATACGCTCTGTTGCTTAGCAACCGTCGACACACCAAGCAGCAAGGAATGGATGCTGAGCTTCTCCCTGCTGTTCTGGGTGCTAATATTCCTGAGGAGCTTCAGCAGCAGAACGGTCGTCTCAGATTTATTATCCCACCCTGCAGAGATATTAGGATCAGAGTTTAACGTTTCCTAAACATTCCCAAACCAAACTAGCCTCACAGAGGAATCTGCCATGGCTGTCTGCTAATTCCTGCTAACTGAGAGCAGGCCGCTACAGGCTGCCTGTTGCTGGAAGGGTTAGCCGCTTGAAGCTAGCTAGCAGATTAGCCTTTCCCTGCAGGATAAATCCCTAATCAATGATGCAATCAAAATGATTCATATTTTTTCAAAAGCTTCATGATTTGCCATGAAAGCGGCCATTGTTAGATCTACAGCTCAGCATTTGGGAGTTCCTGCAGTCAGAGAGGAAAATGAAAGGATGAAGGGAAATGTTAACCCTTTCATCTCAGAGATTTGATGATTGGATCCAAAGAGATTAAAGTTCTTCTAAGCCTGAATGTTTCCCAGCTCTGCATTCTTCAGCTATCGACTTTAACTTCATATTGAAAAGAAAAGTCATGATTAATAAAGAAGATTCAGGGTTTAATGTTTTAGATATATCTCATACATTCTAACCATCCCTTAAAATAAAACAGATTAAAGGTATTTTCTAAATCGCTCATCGTGTTATTGAAGCTTTCTTAGGTCTAAAGTTCTCATGGAGGTGAAATAGAAATAGAATACTCAGTAAATCCTCCTCTGCTGCCCTCTAGTGCACAAGCAGAACTTTACAATCACCTTTATAACCTTAGCAATAATCTGGGCAGATTATGAAAGGCTGTCTGCTTCTGGGTCAGTTTCCGGGAGGGTAGATTTCTCCCATTCTGTGAGTCGTGAGTTAGCTGCTGTTCTCCATGTTGTTCCCTCAGAGGCGCGACTCATCGGCGCCCAGAGCTGCTCCTCAGGATGTTCCTCAGCTCAACCCTTCCTGACTAAAAATAATAGCAGAGCAGATTGAGACGGAAAGCAGCTGCCAGCCTCCAGCTGTTAGTGTTTGGGAAAATTATCAGGATAAAGATGCTCATCAGCCCAGCTGCTTCTCAGCACTAAATCATTTTCACAAGTTATTCTAGTCGATGTATTTCTGGCCAAATTTCCTAACAGTAAGAAACTTCTCTGGTCATTCTGTCATCAAGTTTGTGAAAAAAATTTAAATCCCTTTATTGTCCCACAATGGAGAAATTAACTCTGCATTTAACCCATTCCCTTGGGGAGCAATGGACTGCCATTGTGGGGCCCTCTAGCTCTAACCACTAAGCTCTAACCTCTAGGCTCTAACCACTAGGCTCTAATCTCTAGGCTCTAAGCACTAAGCTCTAACCACTAAGCTCTAACCTCTAGGCTCTAACCACTAGGCTCTAACCTCTAGGCTCTAAGCACTAAGCTCTAACCTCTAGGCTCTAACCACTAGGCTCTAACCTATAGGCTCTAAGCACTAAGCTCTAACCACTAGGCTCTAACCTCTAGGCTCTAACCACTAGGCTCTAACCA